ATTCTGTTCACCCATCCATCTCTTGTCTTTCTCCTGCACTGCAGTTTTTCAGTGTTGCAGGCGCCTTCTCAACATGGCAAAGAACTAGAGATCTGCAGAGTCAACTTTTCAGGAAACACCGGGAAAACGTTGAACGTGTCAAAATGCTCTTACAGGGGAATCGTCCCTGAGCGTGGTTGCTTGCGTGAAAGTTTTCTCTTATCCAACTGGGTAGCATCTTGCCACTCGCTTGGAAACATCTCCAAGCAAGCAACCAAGCTCAGAGAGCACCAAGGGGTCCATAGTTGAACCCTGAGGTCCATAGTATCCTCTTCCATTGGCTCCTTCAGTGTCTTGTTTTTCTTGTAGAACAGTAGATGAAGGCAGCAAGTCAAAGGGTGTTGTTGTGGCTGGTGTAGTGGACAATTGCTACGATGATGGAGCATCCAATCGACGCGCTCTTGCTGTGAAGCAATCTGAGATTACTCACGTAGGGTCTCATCCGAATTGTTATGGTTTAGTTCCCCAAATTTGGCAAAACCCGTACATATTTTACTTTAGAAAAGCTATTTGTGGAAGAGTAATAGTCTACTTTCCCCTTCCAAGCTACTCAGCATCAAGGAAAGAATGACTGGCTTTTCTAAAAATGTCCTGTAAGAATTATGCAGATGTGACCAAGTAAAAAGCTGAGGTGATTCAATTCAGTGTGAACTGAGTGTCTGGTTTTAATTACTTTAACCACTTCCCAGTTCTTCTCGTGCAAAGGACAGATGGGGGTGGGTTTAAATATTGTACCTTATGATTCTCGATGAATGTATCTTTTCTTTTTATGTACACTGAGAGCACATGCACCAAGATGAATTCCTTGTGTGTCTAATCACACTTGGCCAGTAAAGAATTCATTCAATCAATCAATCAATCAATCAATCAATCAATCAAATCTTCCTTCTTGCTTTTGGGAAGCTGCATGGATCACAGGCAGGCCAAAACATCAGGCCAATATCAACAGTAAGAGCTACCAGGAAGAATAGACCCGTGAGGCTGGAGGGCAAAAGATAGGATGCTTGAGCAGGGGTTGGACTAGAAGACCACCAGAGGTCCCCTCCAACTCTGATATTCTTTTATTCTGCTGTTCTGTTAAGGAGAGCATCTTGCCCAAGAGAGTTTCACAGCCTGACACTACCACTGATGTCCCCCCCCCGCCACTTTTTTTTGGGGCGGTCTCTCCATAAGTCTAGCTGGAGGTTGTATCTTTGATTCTGAGATGCCCACGAACGTTCATGAAGAACAATTCAGACATACTTGAAGTCGGGGGTGAGATGCTACTGGTTCGGCCCGGCTCTATAGAACCGGTAGCTCTGAAGAGCAGCAGACACCGAACCAGTTCTGTGTTTGCTGCTGTTTGGCCCACCCACCCGCCCACCCAGGCTCTTACTTGTCCTTTATTTCCTGCTTTTTCAACCTCAGCTGCACTGAGGTTGAAAAAGCAGGAAAGACGAGGAGTTTGAAACGCTGTGCACCTGCACACAGCGCTTTTCAGCTGTCTGGGCAGCACAGCCAGGGGTGGGATTCTACCAGTTCACACCTGTTCGCTAGAACTGGTTGTTAACATTGTAGGTTGTTAATGTTGTAAGCAGTTCAGAGAATCAGTTGTTAGAAGAAATTACTGGCCTAATCCTGTAAGGAAGGCAGGAAGGAAACATTCTGGTGTTGCTTACAGAAACTGCCTCTCTGTTAACCCTTATTACATTCTTGGCAGGACTAGACTTCCTGTCTCTGGAACTTCTCTGGAGTTTTTTTCCCCTCCTTTGCTGGTACTTTGTTTGCATGGAGTGACCATTCAAAGTTAGAATGGCACTGAAAAAAGTGACTTATGACCATTTTTCATACTTACGACTGTTGCAGCACGGTTGCCACGGTTGGACACCCTTGGGTTAAAGGGAAGGGAAGCAATCTGGTTTGTGCTGCAGTGATGCCGCAGGTGTCATGATGTCCTCAGGCAAATGATACAAAATTAGATAAGGTGATTTTCCATCTGGAAGCAGCTGACACTTAACCGACTTCAATCGAATCTTTAGAACGCTGTTCATTCCTTAGGAAAGATCTTCCTTTCTGAAGGAAGCAGAAGAGCAGAGTAATGGAAGGGACCATGGAGGTCTTCTAGTCCAACCCCGTACTCAAGCAGAAGACCCTAACACTTCCAAGAAGGCTCTCCACACCCATTTGCACCACTCAGGTGACCCTGAGGACACAGATAAAACTCCAAGTGGCCTCAAGGACTCGCTAAAAGAATGCAAATGACCAGCTATCTGCAAGGAGTATAAATCCTTCCATTTCCCCACCATCCAGTCAGAGCTGAAGAAGCTTCTTGGATGAGAAGCGAAACATCTTCAAAGGAAAAACAAAAAAGTCCAGTTGCCTTTAGAAAAAAGCACCTTTGGGACAACCTGAATGACTGAGAATCTCCATAGAAGGAGATTCTATTTCACCCCAAAACACTTCAGTAAATTTAAATCTCTCAATGGGATGTCAAATAGCCTATCCTCAGTACCTCAGGTGACTTCTTCTCAAAGCCAAAGCAGAACATCTAAGTAGAACAGGGGTGTCGAACTCAAGGCCTGAGGGCCGGATCCAGGCCACGGGGTGCATAGATCTGGCCTGCAGGGCTGGCCTGGAAACAGCGAAGGACCGGCCCACGGTGCCTCTGCCAGCAAAAACGGAACTCCATTTTCTCTAGCAGGGGGTTGGAGGAGGCCGTCGCAGCCTAAAACGGAGCTCGGGAGCCCGTTTTCACTGGCAGAGTGCTTGGGCCACCACAGGCTCCCCTAACATGAGTAACATCAAGTTGCCCATGTCTCCCTGAGGTCAAACCCAACCCTAACGTGGCCCTCGATGAAATCAAGTTTGACGCCCCTGAGGTAGAAGAAAGCTAACACTTCTGAGGAAAAAATACAAAAAAAAAACAAAACAAAAAACAGGGTCTATTTTAGCCAGGAAGTGAGAGGACCAGAAATGGTGCTGCCTTCTGGTTAGGAGGAACTTCCTTTACATGCCAATCATAACTACCGCTTCCATCTCCAGTGGGCATTTATCTGTGCCCTGCTGTTGCTTCCTTCTTCAGAAGCCTCAGGAGAAGTGAAAGCGCTGCATTATTATTTTTTCCTCTACAGTATGTGGTGGGCAGAGAGGTGTCAATACAAGACCTCCAGAAAGTCCTCCGGGCTTTTTTTTCTTGCCTCATCTCAACCACGGCGTGAGGCCCAAATAGATTTCCCCTGAAAAGGTTTCTGGGTGGAGGACAAAACTATGCACGGAGCCAAGGGATGGACAAGAAGACGTAGAGGAAAGGGAGCGTTTCCATGCAAAGAAGTAGCCACTCAGTGAATCTGATGCAATGAGAGTTTCAACAAACGTGATTGGTTGGAAAAGATTCCACCCACCAAGAATCTTTCTGATACTTTTTTTTTTTTTTTAAATCAATGCAATCAAAATGTGATGCAACAGTGATCTGAATGACAGGGAAATAAGGAAGAAGAGCAAATATCCCCCCCCCTCCTCCCCCCCCCCCCCTCCTTCTCTGCCCTGCTTCTAACTAAGGATGAAATCCCATTTCAGTCATGGCTAAAGCATTAGGGCAGGATATGCTACGGCAAGTGGGAGAAGGGTGTGCAAAACATCAACATTTTATCTTTTTAATTTTGAAGATTTATGAGGGCCCATAGTTCTGAGCAGTGAAAGTATCAGAAACAAATAATAACATTCCCCCACCCAAAACATGGATGGATGGATGGATGGATGGATGGATGGATGGATGGATAGATAGATAGATAGATAGATAGATAGATAGATAGATAGATAGATAGATAGATAGGCTAGACAGATAAGATAGTTGACAGACGGAAGGTAGGTAGGTAGGTAGGTAGCAAGCAGAGGTGGTCTTCAGCAGGTTCTGACCAGTTCTGGAGAACCAGTAGCGGAAATTTTGAGTAGTTTGGAGAACTAGCAAATGCCACCTCTGACTGGAGATTTTATAATATCCTTCCCCTGCCACACCCACCAAGCCACGCCCACAGAACTGGTAGTAAAAAAATTGAAATCCCACCACAGGTAGGTAGGTAGGTAGAGGATAGATAGATAGATAGATCGATGATAGACAGATAAGATAGGTGACAGAAAGATAAGATAGTTGATTAGATATAGATAGATGATAGATAGATAGATGATAGATAGATAGATAGATAGATAGATAGATAGATAGATAGATAGAT